GAACCTTACCCCCCCCCCCCCCCCCACACACACACACAGTAGGAATACGAAAGTGCAGAACAAAGGAGCATCTAACCTATTTGTCCATACAGTCCCCAACAGCAAAAAAAGGAAAAAAACATTGATTCAGAACACCACACACAGGGCCGCTGCTTCCACTAGGCAAACTGGGTGGCTGCCTAGGGCACACTACCACCTAGGGGCACCTGGGCACAGCCCAGGCCGGCACTCTATTTATGTGGGACTCCGCCACGTCATGATTGAGTCTCCAGCTGATGGGAGGGGCAGCAGAGGGGAGGAAGAAAGTACAGAGGAAGATGCCGGGTGTCTGGGGCCAGTGTAGCAGCTGAGCTGCCGCTCCTTCCAATGTTCCTCTCAGACGCAGTCTTTTACTGTCCGCTTCTGATGGCTGTGGAGTTCCAGCCCTTCTCTTCCCATTCATCAGCGGAGGCGGAGCTGCACCTGCGGAGGAAGGTAATGTCTGACTCTCATGTCTTGTGTCTGTGTGAGTGTGACCAGGCCGGCTGGACATCCATTACATGTGCAATGTGTCAGTGAATGATGACATCATCATGATCCCACAGCCTGCTCTTCTAGTGCCTACTGGGCCTGCTGATCTGTGTCAGTGTTGGTGGTGGTGTGTTGTGTTGGATCTGTCACTGTGTGAGATCACTCAGTTCAGGTGTTCTCTCTGCTGTCACAGCGTGTTATCTCCCTCCATTGCCTGGGAATTCCAGCCTGGTATCTATCAGAGTGTGGATCCATCATCCTCCACTCACTGCAAATGTCACCCTGCCACTGCCAGCCAAAGATACAGTCCACTGATTTTGTCTTTAATATTGGTGCCAGTGGCATCTTATGGCACTTATTTTTGCACATTAAAAGAAATTTTAGCAGTTTCATGTTTTGTTGATTGAATATTTTCTACTGCTTTTTTACATTTTTATTTATTTATTTTTTTTTTGGGGAAGGGGGGAGTAGCTGGTCTTGCCTAGGGCGCAAAATAGTCTAGCACCAGCCCTGACCGCACACACATATGTTTATATATAAGATATATAAACCATATAGACAATGTATTAACATTAGGGTTATGGTATCATGGCTGTCTATAAATACCAAAATTGTACCACAGAACCAGGAACACTACTGATATGAAAGTCACCAAACAGATATATAGCTGACTTTGGTAAAAAGAGGTATTTAATTTTTAGTGTATCAAAAATGATATACCATAACTACTGTATAATGCATATACAGTACAAAGACACAGCATTTAAAACCTGATGATTTCTATATAAATTATTTAAAGCTTGGCATTTCATTAAGCCTAGAGCATGCATTGCTTTTAGGGATTGTATCAATCATGTCTCACATTGCAATAAGAGTGTATCAATTTCATCCCCTCTGGGATTAGTATGTACAGTATGCAATCTAAGACATGAAAAGAAGCATCATAGCTATGGTAAAGCCTGTTGCCAAGCATGATGTCCTTCCCATATTTTACAAATTATACAAGGTCTTATATTAGTTTATCAGTTTGCCAAATTGTTTTGCATTGACAACAATAGGTACGCAATGCCAGTCATTTGACAATCCATAAAGTGTTTCGGGGCCCATATCTGTCCATATGGTAGAGTGACAGTCGTTCCTGCTTTTTCCCACAGACACTGGCTACATGCACAATACGCATAAGTTTTCCTTGTTTCAGTTCGACTTTTTTCTTTTCCCAAATAGTGACTCTGTATCAGTCAAACACAAATTGAACCCAAATGCTTATAAACTAGTTCTGGTCTTTCCTTAACATATTTTCTTACAGTACGTCTGCTAGTTAACCACGTAATCTCCAGAACATTTTACCCCCTTCATGACCAGACCATTTTTTGCACACAAATAGAGCTTTCTTCTGGTGGTATTTAATCACCACAGGGTTTTTTTATTTTTTAGTTTATAAACTAAAAAAGACAGAACATCTTGAAAAATTTTTTTTTTAACTTTCTGTTTTTAAAACATATTCAACAAAAAAAATTTAAACAATTTAATTTCTTCATAAATTTAGGCCAAAATGTATTCTACTACATGTCCTTGGTAAAAAATAAATTCCCATTAAGTGTATATTAATTGGTTTGTGTGAAAGCTATAGAACCTAAAAAATATAGGATAAATACTGGAATTTTTTTTATACTAGTAAGGGCGGTAATCAGCGACTTATAGTGGAACTGTGAAAGTGCATCGGGCAATCTGACTATAACTGACACTTTGTGGGAACTGACACTGACATCTCCAGTGACACTAATACAGTGATCAGTGCTACTACTATACACTGTCACTGTACTAATTACACTGGCTAGGAAGGGGTAAACATCTAGGGGAAATCAAAGGGTTAATTGTGTGCCTAACAATGTGTACTGCATGTAGTTTGTGCTGCTTTTAAGTCATGTGCTGGATTTTACTCCCTGCTTTGCAGGGAGAAAAAAAAACAGACACATTGCTGCTGTCTGTACAGAGCTATGTGTTGTTTGCCAGCACAGAGCTCTGTTCTGTCATTTGCTTAGCCCATCAGCAGGTCCTAGTGAAAATTTTTATAGTAGCAGAATCATCTTTAGGTTAAAATCAAAAAATCCCTTGTGTGGACTTTTGCCCCATGGCAAGCTTTCAGGGTTTTTTTTTTCCTATAGCCTCTCCAAAGCAACCCATCCATTAACTCTTTAGCTTTCTTTTCAAAATCTCTCTCTCCCAAACATTTACACCCTATTCTCAGGTATTGTGCAAATAAAGTCAACTATACAGCCCAAATAAAAGAACATGAATAACTCATGAGTACAATATAAGTGCATAATCCAACACCAATTATTTATACATACAGTTAGGTCCATATATATTTGGACACAATTTTCAAACTTTTGTCTCTGTATGCCACCAGAATAAATTTAAAACAAAACAATCCAAATGAATTGAAATGCATACTTTCAGCTTTAATTCAAGGGGTTGAACGTAAATTTCAAGTATAATTTTTAGCAACCATTATTATACACAGTCCCTCCATTTTCAGGCGCTCAAATGTTATTGGACAAATGAATATAATCAAAAATAAAAGGTTCATTTTTAAATATTTTGTTGAGAATCCTTTACTGGCAATGACTGCCTGAAGTCTGGAACCCATGGACATTACCAAAGACTGGGTCTCCTCCTTTCTGATGCTTAGCCAGAGTCTAACTGAAGCTGTCTTCAGTTGTTCTTTGTGGGTCTTTCTGCCTTTAGTTTTGCCTTCAGCAAGTGAAATGCATGCTCAATTGGGTTGAGATCAGGTGATTGACTCGGCCATTGCAGAATATTCCACTTCTTTTCCTTCAAAAGCTACAGGGTTGCTTTTGCAGTGTGTTTTGGATCATTGTCCATCTGTACTGAGAAGCGCCAATCAACTTTGCTGCATTTGGCTGAATCTGGCTGACAGTATATCTCTAAACACTGCAGAATTCATGCGGCTGCTTCTGTCACATCATCATTAAACACCACTGGAAGCCATGCATGCCCATGCCATCACACTGCCTCTACCATGTTTTAAAGATGACGTGTGCTTTGGATCATGAGCTGTTCCAAGCCTTCTCCACACTTTTTTGTTCTCATCAATCTGGTACAGATTAATCTTAGTTTCATCTGTCCAAAGAATGCTTTTCCAGAACTGGTCTGGATTTTTTAGATGTTTTTTTGGCAAAGTCTAATCTGGCTTTTCTATTCTTCAGGCTTATGAATGGTTTGCACCTTGTGGCTAACCTCTGTATTTGCTCTTGTGAAGTCTTCTCTTGATTGTAGACTTTGACAATGATACACCCACCTCGTGGAGAGTGTCCTTCACTTGTCTGGATGTTGTGAATAGGTTTTTCCTTACCATAGAGAGGATCCTGCTATCATCCACCACTGTTGTCTTCCGTGGACGTCCATGCCTTTTTATGTTGCTGAGCTCACCAGTGTGTTCTTCTTTCCTCAGAATGTACCAAACTGTTGATTTGGCCACTCCTAATGTTGCTGCTTTCTCTCTGATGGATGTGTTTCATTTTTGAAGCCTTACTATAGCCTGTTTCACTTGCATAGACAGCTCCTTTGAACGCATGATGTAGGTTCACAGCAACAGATTCCAAATGCAAATACCACACTTAGAATCAACTCCAGACCTTTTACCTGCTTAATTGATGAAGAAATAATGAAGGAGTAGCCCACACCTGGCCATGAAACAGCTTTTGATTCAATTGTCCAATTACTTTTGGTCCCTTGAAAAAAGGGGGATGGCTACTCTTAAAGAGCAGTAATTCCTAAACCCTTCCTCCAATTTGATGTACATACCCTCAAATTAAACCTGAGAGTGTGCACTTTCAGCCCATATCCATTATATAACTATAGCTTGAATATGTATTGGTAAATACCTGAAAAAATATAAAATTGTGCATGTGTCCAAATATATATGGACCTAACTGTATCTGTTATTACAAAGCAGATTCAACATAATAATGGAATACAACAGTAAACAGTCCAATGTGATCATCATAAACAATGCTGTTATGTTTGTAATAGCCAGACATTAGGCTAGCTGCTCTAGCCCTTTCACTTTTATAGGTGTTGTGAGCGTGGTCTTATGTTTTTTAATTTTAATTCTTGGGTTTTGGCTGTAAGGTACACTACTAGAGATTTGTGGTAAGCGCTAAATGCACAGAATATTGTGTTTCTACTTGTTGACTTCCTTTATAATGTGGTTGCTATAGAGCACACTTTGTTGCTTGATAATTTCAATGTAAGGAAAAGAAATACTCAATTTACTACAATTCATCAAGAAGTTGAGGTTGTATGTCTTCTTGTCAGGGCCTGCATGAACAGGGTCAGCTCATCCAGTGTGCCTCTTTAGATGACAAACATGTAATTGATATACATTATATTGCCAAAAGTATAGGGACACCCCTCCAAATCATTTGATTCAGGTGTTCCAATCACCTCCATGGCCATAGGTATAAAAATCAAGCACCTAGGTACCATGATAGGCTGCCACCTGTGCAATAAGTCCATCCGTAAAATTTCCTTGCTACTAAATATTCCATGGTCAACTGTTAGTGGTATTATAAAAGTAGAAGCAACTAAGAATAACAGCAACTCAGCCACAAAGTGGTAGGCCACATAAAATGACAGAGCAGGGTCAGCATATGCTGAAGAGCACAGTACGCAGAAGTCGACAACTGTCTGCAGAGTCAATAGCTAAAGACCTCCAAAATATTATGTGGCCTTCAGATTAGCACAACAGTGCATAGAGCGCTACATAGAATGGGTTTCCTTGGCCAAGCAGTTGCATGCAACCCTTACATCACCAAGTGCAATGCAAAGCGTTGGATGCAGTGGTGTAAAGCACGCCACCACTGGACTCTAGAGTAGGGAGACGTGTTCTCTGGAGTGACGAATCACGCTTCTCTGTCTGGCAATCCTATGGACTTGTTTGGGTTTGGCGGCGGCCAGGAGAACGGTTCTTGCCTGACTGCATTGTGTCAAGTATAAAGTTTGGAGGAGGGGGGATTATGGTTTGGGGGTATTTTTCAGGGGTTTGTCTTGGCCCCTTAGTTCCAGTGAAGGGAATTCTTAAGGTGTCAGCATACCAAGACATTTTGGACAATTTCATGCTCCCAACTTTGTGGGAACAGTTTCGGGATGGCCCCTTCCTGTTTCAACATGACTGGTCACCAGTGCACAAAGCAAGGTTCATAAAGACATGGATGAGCGAGTTTGGGGTGGAGGAACCTAACTGGCCTGTACAGAATCCTGACCTAAACCCGATAAAACACCTTTGGGTTGAATTCGAGCGGAGACTGCGAACCAGGGCTTCTCGTCCGACATCAGTGCCTGACCTCACAAATGTGCTTCTGGAAGAATGGTCAGTTGTTTCCATAGATACACTTCTAAACCTTGTGGACATTCTTCCCAGAAGAGCTAAAGCTGTTATAGCTGCAAAGGGTGGGCCAACTCAATACTGAATCCTACAGACTAAGACTGGGATGCCATTAAAGTTCATGTGCGTGTAAAGTTAGGCTTTCCAATATTTTTGGCTTGAGCCTGGCTGAATTACTTGAAAACCGACCTATTTGTTGCTATACTACTCAAAGTAATGACCATAAACCTGTCTAGATTACAGTTCATTTTCGATAATAGTTTTCAACAGTTCTGCTAAATAAGTTTTGCTGGGGAACATTGCAGTGGTTTACAGACCATTCTTCCAGAAGCACATTTGTGAGGTCAGGCACTGATGTCGGACGAGAACGCCTGGTTCGCAGTCTCCGCTCTAATTCAACCCAAAGGTGTTTTATTGGGTTGAGGTCAGGACTCTGTGCAGGCCAGTCAAGTTCCTCCACCCCAAACTCACTTATCCATGTCTTTATGAACCTTTCTTTGTGCACTGATGCACAGTCATGTTGAAACAAGAAGGGGCCATCCCCAAATGGTTTCCACTGAGTTGGGAGCATGAAATTGTCCAAAATGTCTTGGTATGCCGACACCTTAAGAGTTCCCTGCACTGGAACTAAGGGGCCAAGCCCAACCCCTGAAAACCAACCCCACACCATTATTCCCCCTCCACCAAACTTTATACTTGGCACAATGCAGTCAGGCAAGTATTGTTCTCCTGGCAGCCGCCAAATCCAGACACGTCCATCATATTTCCAGACAGAGAAGCATGATTTGTCACTCCAGAAAACACATCTCCACTGCTCTAGAGTCCGGAGGCGGCATGCTTTACACCACTGCATCCGATGCTTTACATTGCACTTGGTAACGTAAGGTTTGGATGCAGATGCTCGGCCATGGAAACCCATTCCATGAAGCTTTCTATGCACTGTTGATGTGCTAATCTGAAGGCCACACAAAGTTTGGAGGTCTTTAGCTATTGACTACAGACAGTTGGTGAATTCTGAGCACTGTGCACTTCAGCATGCGGTGACCCCGCTCTGTCATTTTACATAGCCTACCACTTCGTGGTTGAGTTGCTGTTGTTCTCAGTTACTTCTACTTTGTTATAACACCACTAACAGTTGACTGTGGAATATTTAGTAGCAAGGAAATTTTTCAGACTTATTGTACAGGTGACAACTCATCACGTTACCACGCTTGAATTCACTGAGCTCCTGAGAGTGACCCATTCTTTCACAAATGTTTGTAGAAGCAGTCTCCATGCCTAGATACTTGATTTTATACACCTGTGGCCATAGAGGTGATTGGAACACCTGAATCCAATGATTTGGAGGGGTGTCCCAATACTTTTGACAATATAGTGTATGTGTTCTGTCTGTACTTGGAAAAAACTGTGAGATATTCTTTTATGATAGCTTGTATTTACAATGTACATTTGACAAAAGAATACAAGTCTTCTGTTCCAACTGCTCTAATTATATTTTGCATTGTGTTTTTAAACATCTAATGCCACGTGGGCCATGTAACTTAGCACCAGGAACAGGACAACTTACTCATATTACTTGTGTAGCCAGCAATTCACAATGCACTTCATTGTGTCATTATGAATAAAGGTATGGAAGTTGGTTTTAATGGGTGTAAGTGCAGTAAAGTCACCAGCACCTGGGGGTGTTAAAGAGCTGATTGGTAGCTTATTGTACTGGGCAAACTGGGAGCAAATGGCAGGGAAGTAATTTATGTAAGGTTATCCAAAGGTGGCCACACCTAGCATTTTCTCCTACATTATTATACTGCATTTTTTGCACATATGACTCCCCATTGACAAGCAATGCTAAGCCCTAGTACTAAGCTGATACAGTACATATAATTGTTAACATACTGATAAGGGAGAATCACTTACTTCTTAGTTTCTCTTAGATGTAAACTGAACTTATAATTTTCCTTTCCCCCTGCAAAGTCCCACAAATACCTGCCAGTGAAGTCCACTGAATGCAGCTTCATGCGATGGTTTGTCAAAAATGCTGCACTGACTCTGAATTCAGTAAGAAATGCCACTCTCTCACGTTGCACTAAAGTGGGATAAAAAAAGTTGAAGGGACATAGATAATATCATTGTCATTGCTGATTGCCAAGCCTGTAGTTTGTTAGTCACCACCTGACCACACTTAATTTTGCCCCCTGCTTTCTGGATTGACAGTAATGCTTTTGTTGCTGAAACCCTCCCACTGAGAGCTGCAGTGTCTGAGAGAGGTGAATGTGACACTCAAATGAAGGAAGACATGGCTTTATGCTATGTGTTTTGTACATCACATAGTAACTGGATTTGGTACGTGTTTAGACTGGTATTACAGGGGCCTGTATTTGTTCTTTATCCATTTCATCTGTATGTCCCCCAATGGACCGCCTAACTCAGAAATAACTGTCATTTCTTACGATAACTATGTAATATATATAGACAAACAATGCTTTGTTTTTGTGATAATGTTTTACAAGAATGCCTTTATTTTAAATGCAATCTATAGACAAAAAACAAACCTAAAATTAGTAGCCATTAAATTGTAGCCATTTGTCTGTACATGACACCACAATGGATGCATTTCATGTTAGGCGGAGGTAACAAGTACAAGGCAGTCATACACAATTTTTTTTCTAATTCTTTAGTGTTTTTCCCATATCACAGAATACGAATAAATGCCTTAGCAGTAGTTACACAAAAGTCAAACAACAGGGATAAAAGCACTCTACCTCCTCCACCCATATATCATGCTTCATCCTCAGGGGATACCGGTGCTCATTCAGGCTACTGTTTAACTTTAACTTTGTAAACATTTTAACAGGACACGTTACATTGTAACATAGGACCCCTTATTTGATAGCAGCTTCACAAATCTTGCATCCATTGAACTTGTGAGTTTTTGGACAGTTTCTGCTTGAATTTGTTTGCAAGATGTCAGAATAGCCTCCCAGAGCTGCTGTTTGGATGTAAACTGCCTCCCACCCTCATAGATCTTTTGCTTGAGGATGTTCCAAAGGTTCTCAATAGGATTGAGGTCAGAGGAGGATGGAGGCCACACCATGACTTTCTCTCCTTTTACCCCATAACAGCCATTGATGAAGAGGTATTCTTTGCAGCATGAGATGGTGCATTGTCATGCATGAAGATGATTTTATTACGGAAAGCATAGTTCTTCCTTCTGTAACAGGGAAGAAAGTGGTCAGTCATAAACTCCACATACTTTGCAGAGGTCATCTTTACACCTTTGGGGACCCTAAAGGGGCCGACCAGCTCTGTTCCCATGATTCCGGCCCAAAACATGACTCCACCACCGCCTTGCTGACGTCGCAGCCTTGTTGGAACAGGGTGGCCGTCCACCAACCATCCACTACTCTATCCATCTGGACCATCCAGGGGTTGCACGGCACTCATCAGTGAACAGGACTGTTTGAAAATTAGTCTTCATGTATTTTTCTGCCCAGTGCATCCGTTTCTGCTTGTGAGCATTGGTTATTGGTGGCCGAATAGAATGTTTATGCACAGTTATGCACAGCTGGAGGACTCTACACCTTGATGTCCGTGGGACTCCAGAGGCACCAGCAGCTTCAAATATCTGTTTGCTGCTATGTAATGGTATTTTAGCAGCTGCTCTCTTGATCTGATGAATGGATCTGGCAGAAATCTTCCTCAATGTGCCTTTATCTGCACAAACCTGTCTGTGCTCTGAATCAGCCGCAAATCTCTTAATAGTGCGATGATCGCGCTTAAGTTTTCGTGAAATATCTAATGTTTTCATACCTCGTCCAAGGCATTGAACTATTTCATTCTTTTCGGCAGCAGAGAGATCCTTTTTCTTACCCATATTGCTTGAAAATGGTGCTCTGCTTAATAATGTGGAACACCCTCCTTTAGTAGTTTTTCCTTAAATTGGGCTCACCGGCCAATCTAATTATTACAGGTGTCCGAGATTGTTTTCAGTGATCAAAAGAGCCCTGACACACAATGCCATCCATGAGTTAAACTGAAAAACAAAATATTTAATCTTTGTGACATTTAAATAGGATTTGCATAATAATTTGGAACATGGTGTATATGTCTTTATTTCTTCTGCGGCTTACATACAAGGCATGGTAGAGGTGCTAACATGTTTTGGACAATGTGTCTTTAGCTACCTGTCCAAGGTTCTATAACTACATAAGTATTTCTTGGCCTAGACAACAGGGTTGAGTCATTCTGAACACATTTTTTTAATTAAAATCTAAAAATCTAAACTGGAATCAGTATCGATTGTGGGAAGCTCTATTGTAATAAACTATTTCAAATGGAGACATTCCTTTTATGTAAGTCAGAGAAGAAATAAAGACATATAGAAGGTCAAAGGTGCTGTTTTTTT